AGAGAGAGAGAGAGAGAGAGAGAGAGAGAGAGGGGTAGAGAGAGACCTCAAAGAGCTGGTTTATGTTGTCTGCCGTCTTTGCAGAGGTCTCGATAAAGAACATTCCATTCTTTTCAGCATAATCAATTCCATCCTTAAAAATGCACAAAAAATAAAAAGAAAATAAATTTGATTGAGTGACATAAAATATAAAATTACCAAGTGACAGTAATCCACAATATATATCTATATATATACTCACTTGAACTAGCACTTCTCGTTTTTCATGAAGATCAGCTTTATTACCAACCAAAGCCATGACAATATCAGGACTCCCATGCTTTTGTAACTCCTACCAAAGTGAACCAACCAATTGCTAAAGAAGAAGAAAAGTATTCCCTTCGAAAGGAAGAAACAACGGAATTCAACATCATTCAAACAAACAGAACATTTAACATTGTATTCCGAACATCAGAACTATAAAATAGACATCAGAATTATGACCAGACAAGTTGACATGCAAATTTTGTATTTTTTTTTTTTCAATGAGCATTGAAATAACAGTCTTCCTTACAAGTGTTTGAGTGTAGATGTGCTATCGATCCATAGTGTTGTCAATAATCATTAAACATACCTTGACCCAATATTGTGCCTTATTGAATGATTCAGGACTGGTTATGTCATACACAACAACTGCCACTGCAGCACCTCGGTAATACAAAGGTGCTAGAGCAGCATACCTGGATAAAGGCAAAGGAAGGATAAGTATTTTCAAAATTGTCAAAATCTTTGACGAAAAGGAAGATATGTTTGGAGGTGTGCTTATTATGAACCCAAAAAACAGTTTTGCAAGTGATATATGGCATGACAACGTTAAGAGTTTTTCTATTTTCAAATACATATATAATAAATAAATAATACCTTGTCCGGCAATGCACGAGTGGCATTTGACAAAATGAACAATTTTTTTCCATTAAGAGAAATAATACCTTTCTTGTCCGGCAGTGTCCCATATTTCAAATTTCACGGTAGTAGAATCTTGTAAGGCTACAGTCTGAGACAAAAAGGAAGCTCCAACAGTAACCTAAAATCGAAGAAAGAACTGTATGAGTTATGTATATATTTCTATAAAATAGTACAATCTTACATGAACGATGTTTTCCTATCCATCACCTTGGATGTCGGATCAAATTGACCACGCACAAATCTTAGAACAATGCAACTTTTCCCAACACCAGAATCACCTAAAAGCACCAGCTGCAAAGATTATGGGAAACGATTATGAGTTTTCCTTGCTCTTCACAATTCTTATAACATTATCTCGAGGTTTATAACTTTGACACGGCCTCAACAAGGATGTCAGCTGGAAGTGCTTAAACCCAATGGCCGAATTCAGTAAAAACTAACCACCACATTTATGACATAGAATGACTCAAGAGGGGGCTTCTTAAAAACGAATCAAAATAAAATGAAATTTGACTGATATTCACACCATTAAATTCAGAATTCAGAAATCAAGGCCAAAATTCATTAAATAAAACATGCTTGAGATTGAAGCGAAACAGAAAAGGAGCGATAAACCTAACTATATGAATCTCACAGCATTATTAAGACTCTATCTCTTTTCAGATTGGTGTGAAACTTACAAAGTCCAAGCTACATTGATGCACCCTGGTGTAGACCTGATATATAACTATATAAGCTACGATATTTTGCCTAAATTACGATGAGAACTATCTTTACTATGCTTAATGATAAACCTACATCATGCGAAAAGTGTGTTCTGTAATACAAGCTTCTAACGAAATCATTACCCAATAATATCCAGACAACCTGAACCAAGATCCAATCTTGGAAGGATTCTAATTCTATATTCAGCTGAAAGTTAAAAAGGTACTTTTTGGTCAATTCTGATCGGTGTACAATAAAGCATGGTATATAAAATGACTCGACTTCCGAGGTCCTTGACTTTTCCTACCCAGCTCCTGTAACAATTTATTATTTTCAATAATTCATGCAGGAAGTTTGGGTTTTGGTATGTGTTACTTGAACTCGAATTCCGGTACACGCGAAAAAAAAAGGCACTTGATAATGCCATTTACGACTACGACGCCACACAAATAGATATTCTAGCCATTTACTATTCTACCAGTACACGCTAGGCTAGTTCAACAATTTCAAACTCTCCCTTCTAAAAATGTTTATCCATCTTACTCCTCAACTTGTTAAGTTATTAAAATAGCCCACTTATTAGTCACTCTTCATAAGTTCATTAAAGGCAACATCAGTAAAGGTAGGTTATTTACAATTCCTTCAATTATTTCCTGATAGATTTGAGGTTAATCAAGAACAAAACTTTGTAACTTTCTCATAATCAAACGTGCAAAGTCTTTTACCTTAACACGGAGATTCTTTGCATCGACCGCAGCATCATTGTCTCGATTAATGCCGCCTAGCCGCGCAGTATTTCTATCTAGAAAATGCAGAATTGCAACAAATTATAAAACAAAAAAA